CACTCAGCATAATGTCCTCCAGACTCACCGATTTTGAATAATATTGCATGAGTTCTTTGTTTTTCAATGCAGCATAGTATTCCATTGTGTGAATATACCCCAGCTTCTCTATCCACTCGTTTGTTGATTGACACTTAGGTTGTTTCCAACTCCTTGCTTTATGAACAAAGCCGTGATAAACATGGGTGTGCATATATCTGCTTGAGTGTCAGTTATGGTCTCTTTGGGGTATATTCCCAGTAGTGGAATTGCTGGGTCAAATGGTACCTCTATTTGCAACTTTTTGAGAAAGCACCATACCGCCTTACACAGTGGTTGTACCATTTTACACTTCCACCAACAGTGAATAAGAATACCAGGTTCTCCACAACCTAGCCAGCATTTGTTGCTTTCTGTTCTGTTAAATTTTGCTGTTCTGACTGGGGTGAGATGATATCTCATAGTTGCTTTTTTCCTTCCTTTTTTATTCTTTGTTTTTTCTTTAGCAGTTCAGTGGTGAAAATTCTATTTCACTGATTCTGTATTCCATCTCTTCCACTCTGTTCATGTGTCCCTCCATCATGTTGACAGCATCTGAGACATTTACCTCATATTTTGGATTGTGTTTTATTGTTTTTCCAGAGTCTACAAAGAAAGGTGACCCAACAGAGTATGGAAATTATCGAACAATATCATTACTATCACATGCCATCAAGATTCTGCTGAAAATTATCCAAAAATGATTGGAACAATATGTCAGCAGAGAACTGCCAGATGTGCGGGCTGGATTTTGAAGAGGTCGTGGTACTAGAGATATTATAACTAATGTTAGATGTATCTTGGCAGAAAGCAGATAATATCAGAAAAATGTCTATCTGTGCTTCATTGACTATGCAAAGGCTTTTGACTGTGTGGATCACAACAAGCTATGACTGACTCTGAGAAGAATGGGAATCCCAGAACATTTGACTGTGCTAGTGCAAAACCTATACTTGGACCAAGAGGCAGTCATCAGAACAGAGCAGGGAGACACTGGATGGTTCAAAATCAAGAAAGGGGTCTGTTGGGGATGTATTTTGTATCTATACCTTTTCAATGTGTATGCAGAACAGATCATCTCAGATGTCAGATGCTGGGCTGTACGAGGAGGAGTGTGGCATCAGGATTGGTGGAAGAATCATCAACAACCTGTGTTATGCAGATGACACAGCCCTGTTTGCTGAAACTGAGGAGGACCTGAAGCGCTTGCTGCAGAAGGTCAAGGACTGCAGTCTTCAATATGGATTGAAGCTCAATATCAAGAAAACAAAGATTCTCACCACTGGGCCAATTGACAGCATCAGTATGGATGGTGAAGAGATTGAGATAGTTAACAGTTTTCATTTACTTGTTTCCACAGTCAACACTCTTGGTAACAGCAGCCAGGAAATCAGGAGATGAATTGCATTGGGAAAGTAGCTGTGAGGGATCTCTCAAGAGTACTGAAGTGCAACAATGTCAGGCTGGAGACTAAGGTGCGCCTGAACCAGGCAATATTCTTTGCAATTACGTGCTAAGCACTGGGGAGTTAGACAGTGAATAAGGATAATAGAAAGAGAATTGATGCCTTTGAGTTGTGGTGCTGGAAAAGAGTGTTGAATATACCATGGGCTGCTAGAAGAGCAAACAGGTTTGTCTTTGGGAGAGGATGAAGCCAGAATGTTCTTTGGAGTCAAGGATATTGACATACTTTGGACATGTTGCAAGGAGGGACTGGTCCTTGGAGAGGGACATCATGTTTGGGAGAGTGGAGGGGTGGCACAGGAGAGGAAAAGCCTCGATGAAATGGATCGATTCTGTGAGTGGAGTGCTGGGAATTAATGTGTTTGAAACAGCGAGGTTGGCACAGGATGGAACAGCGTTTAGGGTTCTGGTACATAGGGTCACAATGAGTCGCAAGCAACTCCATGGCACATAACAACAACAACTCTAATACCTCATTTGTTTTACCTGCATTGTTTTGGCTTTTTATTTATTTTTTTTTAAAAAAAAGCTCCTTCTGGTTTTTGCTTGCAGCATCCTGTAATTCTTCAGTTTTGTCTTTCACCCATAGAAAATACCTTTATCCTGCTATTGATATGTTGCAGACTTTGTTGAGAGATTAATTTTCCTAGTGGCAGTCTTCCCTGCTGGTTTTCTATGGGCAAATTTGTTCCCAGTTTACTGTGGATAGATTCTCATCTGGTTCTCATTTGATGGGCAGGGAGCTGGGGTCTCTCCCTGGAGGTGGGCCTGCTCCTTTGTGTCCTGTCATGTCCAGAGATAGGCAAAGTAGTAGGAGTGCTACCAGGGATATAGAGCTCAGGGAAAAGGCCCAAGAAAGTGGCATTGGCTGGTTGGGATAGGAGTTATTACCTTTTTGCAAAGCCCCAGGGAAGCAAAATTGTCAACATTGCCGTTGCCAAGTCTCAGTCTCAGTTGTTTCTATTACCAGCATACTGTTTCTTCTTCCCTCCAAAATAAAATCTGAATGAATTTCACTACTAGGAGTCAATTCTAACTCAGAACAACCACAACAGATAGGGATGTTATTGTTGTTATTGTTGCATGCCAACTCATAATTGACCCTCCATTGAGTTTTCAGAGGCAGTAAATCACATAGGACACCTTCCTCCCGCAGAAAAACCGGTGGGTTTGAAAATCATGCCTTCAGGATTACAGTGCAGCTTCTTACCATGAGACTATCAGACTCCCTTAAGATAGAGCCATTGTTGTTTTTAGGTGTTGTCAAGTTGAGTAGGACTCATAGTGACTTTATTAACAGCCAACCTGAACCCTGCCCTATCATATGCCATCCTAATAATCTCTGACACACTAGAGCCCATTGCTGAATTTACAGTGTCAGTCCATCTCACTGGAGGTCTTACTCTCCTTTGCTGACCCTCTATATTTCCAAGCATGATGTCCCTTTTCAAGGAATAGCCTTACATAGCTAACTGTCCTAAGTATGAAAGAGGAAGCGTCATTGTACTTGCCCCAAGGGGCACTCTGGCCACACCTTTTCCAAGACATAGCTGTGTGTTCTTTTGGCAGTCCATGGGATCTTCAGTACTCTTCTCCAACTCCACAACTCAAAGGAATCCATTTTTCTCTGTCATTCTTATTCATTGTCCAGATATCTAATGCATGACAAGTTACTGAGAAGAGTATGGCTTGAATCTTCAAACTGACATCATTGCTCTTCAGCATTTTGGAGAGATCCCCTGAAAGCAGAATTTCCCAATGCAATACGTCTCCTGATTTTGTGACTGCTGGTGCTAAGGGTATTAACTGTTGATCCAAGCAAGATTAAGTTATTGCCAGCTTCAGTTTTTTCTCCATCTAATATAATGTTGACTGTTGGGCCTGTAAGATAGCGAACTCTCCAATACCATTTCCAAGATTGTAATCTTTACAGAAGCAAAGGTAGTTGATTCATACTGCCAACCTTTGTGTTAGCCAATTTCTTAATCCACTGTGATACCAGGGGTTACTTGTTTGCATAGAGTGAATCCTAATCTAGTACTAGCAATGTCCTCTTGTGAAAGAGATGAAGATAGCAGAGACAGACAGAGGAAGAATGGCAAATGAAGCTATCAATGAATGCCTGTGGCTGAAGATGGCCCAGGATTAGGCAAGGTTCAGATAATTTGTTCACAGTGTTACTGTGATTTGTAGTCTACTATACAGTACCTAACAAACAAACTGAAAGTAGAAAAGATCTTCCCCTGGAGACTTCAGAGAGAGAGTGTGGCTCTATAAGGTCGGTGAACTCAGACTTTCAGCCTCTAAAATGCTGAGAATAAATTCCTGTGGTTTTAAAGCTTCCTTTTTGTGGTATTTTATTATTTAGGAAGCAAACATAGTTCAGGAAAATAAAAATATATATGTAACTTTTTTTTTTTTTACTTTCTGATCCTTGTCAAATTTGTAAATTATGATGTAACCTAGATCACAATAAAAGGAAAAAATAAACAAGGAGATACTTTAAAACTAGTAGAGAATTTTCTAAGTGGCCATGATGCATTCCTTGTATTCACAGCCTCTGTTTTGTAAGCAGTTAAGTAATCATCTTGGAGCTTTGTGTGTGAAACACTGTTTCCCCAGACTATACCACCTGCACCTTTAAACAAGACCATACTGCTTGCTCTGACACCTACCTGTCCCAGTCTTAGCAGACCCTCATCACTTCATTAAGAGCATCCACTTTTTGGATGTTCATGAACCAGCTGAAGTGCTAGCTATTGAGCTTGGCTGAACATTGTAGCCTACAGGAGACCCTGAGATAAAGCTGTGCGCTCTGGCACTTTCAATTTTATTGAAAGACATCAAAGTCACTATCTTGCACCCAAACAAGTGTCTTGGGATTTTTGCAATAACATTTCTTGGAGTCTACTCTGGCTGAACTTCAGATATCCATGGGACCCAGACTTGGAAAACTCAAGTGTCCTATGTTGTGTTCAAAATCATTTCCTCCCATAAAAGTCTGAGGCTTGAGCCTTTTTAGACCATGCCTTCTTCCTACAGTGGAGTCTTTCCAGAGGCCCTTGAGATCATCATAGTTATTCCCCCACCATGACATTAGCTATGCCCAGTTGTACTTAGTTTCCAATAAGAGTAGTTCCATCTCCAAATTCATAGATAGTAAACTGGCCAGGAATCCTCCATTTATCCTTGCTAGCATCACTAGAAATTGACCCAGTATGTTAAGACTGCTCTTCCACCTGAGGAACCTCATCTTTGAGGTTGCCAAAAGCAATTACCTTCAAGCTCATCTCGCCTAAGGATGCTCAGCCCCATGTGGAGGGTGGGGAGCTCCAACTTGTGCATTTGCTAGTCACTGGATAGCATGAGAGGAGGTTTCAGATAATGGTGACTGCAGAGAAGGCAGCTAAGATCCCAATGGGAAGGTCTCATACTCTGCACAGAATATTCACTGCTGCTTTCTTCATACTTAATTTGTATTTAGTTTGGTAACAGGCTTTTGCTATTTTGTTCCCTAGTGTGGACAACACAGAGGACCCAGTGTACGAGAGTCTAGAAGAGTTCCATGTTTTCGTCCTTGCTCATATATTAAGAAGACCGATAGTTGTTGTAGCAGATACAATGCTAAGAGACTCAGGTGGAGAAGGTAAGTTCCTCAGATAGTTGTTTTACTCATGACTCAGAGACCTTCACATTCCAAAAAGACACAGCTTGATTGCTGTCATAAAGGTTGAGATTCCAGAAGATTCCAAAGTGTTACACTGTCAGTTTAGAAAAAGAAATGAAAAAAATCATGTCTTCAAATAAATTAATCATCATGGTGTCCAGAAAAAAACTGGCTATGTTAGGTTGAGACCAAATCTAGAGTCCCCACCCCTACCTCGTCTGTTTGTCTACAGCATGGCCAGCACACTATCAGCTTCCTATTCCCTGAACATTTGTGATCAATTCAGTGCTGCTTTCTACTCCAGCCCCAACCCTAAACCATCTATAGACTACACATTTTAAAGAGTAAGACTACAAGCATGAAATAATTTGGCAAAATAGTGGCAGAGAAGGGGCCAGGGTTGGAAGAGCTGTCCACCCCTGCCCAAGAGCCCAGCAGTCCTTTAATGCATGTCCTTGTCCCCTCTCACTACTACCTGCCAGAGTGACTGTGCCTTTCCAGCTCAGGTAGTATAAGTAATGCCCTCAGTCACAGATCTGATGTCATGGAGGACCCTAAACAAGGAGACACAAAGTCATTTACAAAATCTGCAGGACTGTAAGGCAATCACAGTGAACATCAGTCAGCCCAACCCTGTTGTTTCTAGCATGTAGCTTGATGGGCACAGGGATGGACCAGGGGAACTGCCCCAGGGAGGCAGGTGGGTTCGGGCTCCCCAGGCACACAAGAAGACTCAGGATCAGAGAGATCTGACCTATCTGAGCCTAAGTATCCCCATCTACACATCTCAGTCTGCACATCAACACTGTTGGGAGTGTTTAATGAAATTGTGTGGAGATGAATTCCTGGGCTCCTCATATCCTGACAGGGAAAAGGACAAACTGGTTTTTCCCTTCTAGCTCTATCCCTCCAGCTACTACATATCCTCATTCTTGTTTGTATCCTCAGCTTTCGCCCCAATCCCCTTTGGAGGAATTTACCTGCCTTTGGAGGTTCCTCCCAACAGATGCCACTGCTCACCTCTGGTCCTTGCCTATGACCAAGCTCACTTCTCTGCCCTTGTGTCCATGGAGCAAAGAGATCAGCAAAGAGAACAAGGTAGGCCCAGAATGAGGAGGGTGGCAGGGGCTAGACAGGGAGCAGGAACAACATCACTGAAGGGATTTTTCAGGCAGGGGGAACATAGGGGAGGCTGAGACATGAGAATGCACCTAGAAACATGCATGTGCACACTCAACAGCAAGAGTTACTGCCATGTGCATGTATGAATGTTCTTTTCCTTAAAAATAACATTAAGACAACACTGTTATTTAATTAAAAATAATCTCACAATCCTTAAATAGCTTTTAACTGTTGTTCCCTTTCAACAAAACCCAAACCCATGATCCTAAGTCGATTCTGCCTCACAGCAGGCAACCATCTATAAGGTTTCTAAGGCAGTAAATCCTAATAGGAGAGGATTGCCTTTCTTTTTTTTTTTTTTTAGTAAAAGGCGAAAGATTTATTCGATCTGAAGAGAAACAAGAGTATAAGGATTGCCTTTCTTTATCCTGCAGACCAACTAGTGGATTTGAACTACTAAACTTTTGGTTAGCTGCCCAACACATTATTAGATTTAGATGTAAATTTAATGAGGCATGTAGAAGGAAGTCGCTCTATAATGGGGATCTGCCTACAGAACTATAGTTTGCTATCTTATTTTTGTAAATCATTTTATTGGATCACAGCAATGCTCATCCATTTATATGTGCATTGCTGCTTTTGCGTTAGAACCTCAGAGTTGGGTAGTAGCCACAGAAACCAGGTGACCTGCAAAGCCTGGAATATTTATTATCTAACTCTTTAAGCAAAAGTGTACTGACTTCTCTTCTGGAGTAAGCTTCTGAATGAATCAAAAGGTCTGTATTTCTGTCCAGATCTTTACAGATAAGTTTCCTGAAGGTGCCATTTCAATGCCCCAAAAAAAAAACCTCACAGGAAGTACCCTCCCACCAGCCACACATGTGGCTCATTCAGCCTCCCAGGAGGCTGATTTCAATCATACCCATGGTCTTGCAGAAATAAGACCATTGTTTGTAGCAGTTACTATTTTCATCCATTCCCATAGGCACAGACATATCAATAGCTAAGTAAAGAGGAGAAACCTCTTTCGTGCTCTTTGGTGTCTGATCGATCTCCAGGCAACTACAGGAAGGCAGAACTGGCCAATGTTGATGAAATCTATGGTGATGCTTCTATACCTGCCAACGGTAGGAAACAGCTGTTTGCAGTTGTGACATACATGGTTGGTGTGCAGCTTGGTAAATAAATGTAGTCAATAATCAGGACTTCCCAATTCTGACCCATCCTGAGCAGTGAGGAATCTGGGCCAGGGTCTGGACATTCTGTTCAGATTCAGTCAGGGAAACCCACACTATTGGAGAAAGATGTTCCAGTCTGCTTGTTTAGTTCCATCAAGACTACTGTCTAGGAAACCGTATAGGGCATTTCTCTTCTAGCCTTTGGGTTACTGTGAGTTGGAATCAACTCAAGAACACACACCAATGGCACATTTCCAATGCCTCCCTACAGTCTCAAAGAACACTTGTGATCTCAGAGTTTCTGGTGAGACCCAGAGTAGGCCAGCCTTCTAGGATTTGTCATAGTCAGGACACATAGGTGAAGTACCTGCTATATTGAGGCTTGTTGTTGTTGAATTGAAACTAATTCATAATGACCTTCCAGTGTGTTTTCAGAAGCAGTGAACCACATAGGAGGAGAATTTCCATCCTTCTTCCAACATGTAGGTTTGTTGTTGTTATGTGCCATTGAGTTGTCTGTGACTCCTAGTGACCCTGTGAATAATAGCTCTGAACCCTGCCCTATCCTGAGCCAGTTTCACTGTCTCCAACACACTTACCCCAGTTGATGATGTTGTACTTATGTGCTATTGAGTTGCTTGCAACTCAGTGAACCTATGTACAATATAGGTTCAGGTTCTGAAGCCTGCTCTATCTTAAGCTACCTTCATTGTCTCTGACACATCTACCCTTATTTTCCCAGCCATTAAGTCAATCCATCTCATCCAAGGTCTTCCTCTCTTGTACGGTCCCTCTACCCTTCCAAGCATGGCCCTTCCTTGCAACATGCCCAAAGTATGTCAAATGAAACTTCAAAATCCTTGCCTCCAAAGGAGCAGCCTAGTTTCACCCTCTCCAGGATGAACCTGTTGGTTCTAGCAATCCATACTCTTCTCCAGCACCACAGTTCAAAGCCATTGATTATTATTCTGTCATCCTTAGTCACTGTCCAGCTCTATAATGCATCACAAGTCATTGTGAAGACCATGGCCTGGATTAGGCACACTTTAGTCTGCAGACTAACATCATTGCTGTTAAGTACACTGAAGAGTTCTCTGACAGGAGATTTTCCCAGTGCAGCTCATCTTTTTATTTCTTAGCTGCTGGTACCAAGAATGTGGATTGTGGATCCAAGCAAGCTAAAGCTGTTAACAATCTCAGTCTCTTCACCATCTATCATGATGCTGCCAATTGGCCCAGTGCTGAGAATCTTTGTTTTCTTGATGTTGAGCTTCAATTTGTGTTGAAGGCTGCAGACATTCTGCAGCAAATGCCTCAGATTCTCCTCAGTTTGAGCAAGCAAAATTGTTTCTTCTGCATAATGCAAGTTGTGATGAGTCGTCCTCCAATCTTGAAGCCATATTCCTCCTCATAGAACTCACTCGCCTAGAAGATCTGTTAAGTGTTTAGTATAAATAGGTTTGGAGATAGGATCCCTGGTGTACATCATTCCTGATTTTGAAACATGCAGTGTTTCCTTGCTCTGTTCCAACAACTGACTCCTGGTCCAAGCACAGGTCTCACATAAGCACAATCAAGTGTTCTAGGACCCCCATTCTTCTCAGTTACCCATAGTTCGCTATGATCCACAGAGTCAAATGCCTTTGCATAGTCAGTGAAACCCAAGCATTCCTCTAGTACTCTCTGCTTGCAGAGAAGATACATCTAACATTGGCTGTAATATTATGTAATATTATTATATATTAATTATATTATATTA